TGAACTTACTAGATTTATTTTATTCAACCTGTACAGATAAGCGGTGCTAAGATTACTGGGTGTCCTACTGTTATGGTTAGGCAAATTATTATCAGCATTAAATATGCAGATGACACTGAGATTATAGCAGACACAGAGAGAAAACCGCGGGTACTTCGAGAGAAGGTAGTAAAGAAAAGGATTTGGGAAGAGGAGTACCCCAAAGTGCGAGCCAAGAATTGGAAATATCAGAATCAAACAAATGCGGAAATTCAATTATTTGGGAAGTGCTTTAACAGAGGACGGAAAACGTGACATCGAAATCAAAAAGTTCATTGGAATAGCGAGAGAAGCCTTCTAAAAGCTAAGCAAAGGAAGAAGAGAGAGAAATATTTTATTAGAAATAATGAAACAAATGTTGAACTGCTATGAAATTTCTAATCTACTATATGGCAGTGAATGCTGGACAAGCATCTCATACCTTTCAGAATGTATGCAATTAAATAAGAGATAGATGAAATGTCGTTAGAAACAAAGAAAAAGTGCTGAACTGCTATGCAATATCTAATCTCTTGTGTTACAGTGAATGTTGGACAATTATCTCATGCTTTCAAAAAGTAAGCAATGTAATAAGAGATATGAAAATGTTAGAAATAAAGAAAAGTGTGCTGAACTGCTATGGAATTTCTAATCTCCTATATGGCAGTGAATGCTGGACAATCTCCTCGTGCCTTTCAGAAAGTAAGCAAAGTATTAAGAGATAGGAAAATGTCGTTAGAAATAAAGAAAAGATTGCCGAACTACTATGCAATATCTAATCTCTTGTGTTACAGTGAATGTTGGACAATTATCTCATGCTTTCAAAAAGTAAGCAATGTAATAAGAGATATGAAAATGTTAGCAATAAAGAAAAGAGTGTTGAACTTCTATGTAAGGAAAATTGTGAGAGTTTAAATGTTACTTACAGCAACAAAAGACGGAGAAGTTGTGGGGAGCCATGATCGCTTATCAAATTAAACACTCTCAGGACATATTGAAGACAGAAATATGTAATGGGAAAGAGCAAATAACCAACTTGACCTGATTGTGTGAATGGATTTCAGAACAGAAAGATTGTAAAGCGTCAAATGTTACTTAGAGCAACAAAAGACGGGAAGTTATGGAGAGCCATGATCGCCTAACAAATTTAACGCTCACCCGACATATTGAAAGCAAGAGCATTAAATAAAACTTCTTGTGACCAACTTGACGTTTTTGTGTGAACGGATTTCAGAACAGTAACAAAGAAAGATTGTAAGGCGTCAGATGTTAGTTAGAGCAACAAAAGACAGGAAGTTGTGGAGATCCGTGATCGCCTAACAAATCAAACACACACAAGATATATTGAAAGCAAGAGAAGCAGACCAAAACAGCATGTAAGCAACTTGATGTGTTTGCATGGCAAAACAAGGACAAAATGAGTTGTACTGGATCAAAAACAAGAGGACAAGCATTACTTAATTCTAAAGGGCGTTTCATTAAGACGGATCAAAGTCAGTAGTAAATAAATCAGTGTTATTGGTGAAAATTTATTTATTTCTCTATTGGATCATGTTAATTAAGTCATGGCAATTATGTGTGAGAAATAATATCACCCAAATATCCGCCAAGGTTTCGTAATAGGCTTCGATAACTTTAACACTTTTAATTGTTAATGTTTCCATAGTTGAAACTGCCAAAATCTTAAGTTGTTAAATCTGAAAGTTGTTTAATTTATATCTAAAATTGGTCCAAGTTATTGGAATACCTTTTACAAAACAATGGAAGTTGTGGAGAACCATGATTCCCCTCATTCTCAAGGAAAATGGCACGTAAAAGAAGATTAAAACTTATCCAGTACGCTTTGTTGCTAAAGTTATTTGTGTTAAGTGCAAACAGTATAAAAATATTTAGGTGCCTTTGAAAGCCTTTAATGTTAACATTGGGTTATATTACAGGCACTTGGGAAAAGAAATAAATTTTAAACGAGACCTTTGATTTAACAAAAAATGTTCTTTATGAGTGAATTATATTTAGACATTATTAGATTGTTGGTCATAATAAGACCATTAGAGATCACGGCTAAAGTCCTTATCTAAGCCTTAGGCTAAATCTTGGAACAGAAATATTTATAAAATGTATGGTATGCGATTAAAATAGCCGGAATAAGGTCTCATTTTATTTTATTTTCGCTTGTTTCATTAAATATTGGGTTGGAACAAAAGTTCGTCGCGTTTTTTAAATAGGTGGCGTTTGAAAATGTGATTTCGTTTCACATGTGAATGAAAATTATTAATTCGTCGTTGGCGAATATGTCATCTTTCCAAATATATATATATATATATATATATATATATATTATTTATTTAAAAATATGATTCCAACACGCTACATAAGAGGTCTCATGTTTCAAAACAATCCAAAAAAAACTTCGCTTGAAGATGGAACAGAGCTTACGTTAATTCAATTTAATTCAAATAATTATATTGACGTTTTCGGCTCTTGTTTTGAAACATGAGACCTCTTATGTAGCGTGTTGGAATCATATTTTTAAATAAATAATTATATTTATGCTCTATTTTTGTATCGAGCACTATTTTTTAAAAATAATAACTAAAATACTAAAGAACTTTGGATTATTTACCTAACGAGTTCTTTCCTATTTTCTATATATTTTCACACACACACACATATATATATATATATATATATATATATATATATATCAAGCGGATGACGATTACAGCAGAACTCAACGGTTGAAACATCGGTCGAAGAAGCCTATGCATAACGTACATGTTGCAGAAGGTGAAAGGTGAAACTGGAAGCTTCTAGTCCTCGACCTAGACATTGCCGACGAATTTAGTCATCAGCGTCATCTTTATAAAGAAATCGATCAGCAAAGAAGAAATTAAAATCTTAGATACGTGACATCGATTTATAAGCGGATAGTGAAATATAATATATACAGGGTGCGATGGGTAAATTGTCACGATTTTATATTTTTAATTTCACACATGCGCGTTGTTTTTGATTGAGTCACCTGCATAGTATAGTTGGGTCAGTTGGGCACCGTCTATGAGAAAAAGACGCAATTCAGTTCGCCAGAAATTTAGAAACGGCCTGCGGTAATGCTTGTCGCCGGGAGCTCCAATACATTTCAGAGTGTTTGGAGGTCAATCTAAGGAGAGTGCAGGGAAATGCTGTGTCTCCAAAAGATTATTGAGAGCGATGAAAACCAAATATCCAATCAACATCGTGGTGTTTGGAGTGATCACTAGTGATGGCGACGTCATGCCTCCATTCATCTTTCCACTGAGCCTCACAGAGTTCTACATCAAGTGCCTTGAGGAGGTAGTGCTGCTCTGGGTCAAGAAGGTGGCTGCTGGATGGCCCTATGTCTGACAACAGGACTCTGCACCATCCCACACAAGCAGGAGAAGCCAATTCTGGCCAATTCTGTGGCCACATCACCCCTTAGATATGGCTACCTAAGTCCCCAGACTGCAACCTCCTTGATTATTATTTGTGGGGTGCAGTTGAGCGAGAGACCAACACAATTCCTTGTAATACCAATGATGAACTGAAGGTAAGGATTATGGTAGCATTCACCAACTTAAACAAGGAAAACGTCCAAAAGAGATGCAGGAGATTCCGAAGTCGTTTGACAGCTGTGGTTGAAGCCAATGGCGATTTTATTGTATAAATTTACTCTTTAGTATTTCAAGATATTTTTGTGTAATTTTGGTAAATGTTTGTGTTAAAATAGGATGTTAGTGTTATTTTCATTTTTGCGTAATTTCGACGATAATTTATCCATCGTACCCTATATATATATATATATATATATATATATATATATATATATATATAATGCAAATGTCAGTGTGTCACACTTTTCCAACTTTACTCCTAAAGACCGTAGCCCAACATATCATACCATTTTGGAATCAGACCGACTCCGTGAGCAAATTAAAAACATTACGGACCGAATCCGGACGAGCAATCCTGAAATTTTGGACTTCCAAGTTTTCATTACAGCGATTGCTTTCGGCAATTTTTTACGTGATTTTTTGCGACGAATTTTTTTGTACGGTAACAATTTTTATACCTTGGAATTAAATTTAGGAATAATCGAAATTAATTACGAAATCCAACGAAAGTCAGCAGTGAAATAAAAATAATTGTTTGTACGGAAAGTAAGGACCTACGTACATCAAATTGTCTTTAAATTAAGTGGCGGCAGAAGAATTATCATTGAACTTTTAAAAGGTAACCTTAAATATTAATGCAATACTTAAATGCAGCGATCAATTTTGAGTTATTCTGTAGTTTATTGATGTCTATCACATCTACTCCTCCCAATCAATAGCCCCCCACTACCCGCATGAGCTAGCTTAAATGCTGCCCGATAGAGTGGTTTTAATCTAGTAATATAATATAGCCGACATTGAGATATAAGCCGACGACATCGATTTACAGAAAGGAACAAAAACGCAGTACAAACAATGAGAAGCGTAGGTGCCATTTATGGAGATGGTTCTTTACCTGAGCGTATTGTTTGCAAGTGGAACACTTGGTTCAGAAGTAGAAATTTTGATCTGAAAAGCCGAGATGACCAAATCAAAACGCCGATTAAAAATAACCCAGGTCACATGACTCGGAATATAACAGTTTTGTTTGATTGATCGATTGTTTTTTTACGGCTTATCAACCTTTTCAGGTTATTTAACGCCATAAAATATTTTTAGATAGTGTTATATATATATATAACCATTTACTGATACAAGTCCAACTAATTAATGCATAGCTGGGGGGAAGGGTGGATTCATGCCTTTCCCAAGGCGTAAGTGAATATAACGAACCCGATTGGAATTCGAATTTTTCTCTCCGATTTCTAATTTCGAGCCATTATCCATTACACCACCCTCACATGCTAGATCACAGCATGTGGTTCAACGCGAAATAGCCGTAAACCCATTCTACTACCCGCATATCCAAGCTTTCAGCGCCAGGTGGCCCCAAGTGGTCACCCATCTAGGTACTGACCAGGCTTGATGTTGCTTAACTTTGGTGATCGCACGGGAATCGGTGTTTCAACGTGACAGATCAAAGTTATACTTTCTATATATAATAGGACATTTGTAAGGCATTTGAACAAAAAACTTGGATGCGTGAATCGGTACGAAGTTTGTGTGCTTCACGATTTAATAGAACAAAACTATTTAATGAACTGCATTTCCATTTGCGATTCTCAAACGCAGTAAGAACGTTTGATCGAAAATAGATTGTTTTAAAAATGTGGAGTAAAAGGTCCTGGGAAAACAAAAATAAAAAGCCATTCTTTATCGGCCGGTGGTGCTGGGAATCTGGTGAGATTAGAAGTGCGCTGTGTATTACCAGTTCCTTCTGCAAAATCAGAAACTGAATTCAGACAAATACCGCTTCCATTTGAGCCAATTAAACGCTATCAATGTTAAACATCCGGAATTAGTCAATCGTAAAGTGTCAACTTACATCAGGAAAAAGAAAACAATCATGTCTCTTTGCCGACCCGACAGATTGACTGGGATGTCTTATTAAACACGATTTAATCGCTGATCTTGCACTTTCGGATTTTTTAATTGAATTAACCCCATTCAAGGCATTAAAGTCACTAAGTCACAAGGGGTTGCTGGGTGGGAAAGAACTAGAAAACAGTAACATTATTAAGCAGCGAGAAGAAAAGAAGTGTAATCAGGAAGACAGTAGATAACAGTTGATTTTGCATTTAAATTTTAGATCAAAGTTGAAATGCTTGTCATTCTCGCCGGGAGCTCCAATACATTTCAGAGTGTCAATCTAAGGAGAGTGCAGGGGAATGCTGTGTCTCCAAGAGATTATTGAGAGCGATGAAAACCAAATATCCAATCAACATCGTGGTGTTTGGAGTGATCACTAGTGATGGCGACGTCATGCCTCCATTCATGGCGTCGAAAGAGATTTCCACAAGCGAGAAGTGCAAGAAAAGAAACTGTTAGCATAAAACTTACGGTTAAATTTAGCCAATTCAGCTGTAAATTGATGGACTCTCTTGCCAATCTAGTGCTTAAATTCATAAAGTCTAGATACCATACAAAGAGCTCATCTGAACAATTATCATGGATGTATTTATAGAAAAGACGCAGAGAAGCTACATTACGGCGGTGGGAAAGTGACTGAAGCTCAGGTGCCAGGTCAGGACATTTTTAAAAAAAATTAATCAAAACATATCAGAGATGAAAGAAAGATTTGAGCAAGCTTGCAATCCTGTCAACTGAGAGAGATTTCAAGGTAGTTTTCAATATAAACCATGCAATACTTTAAAGGCATTAACACACAAGAGTGTAAAAGAACAAGAAAAATAAAAAGAGAAACATTATTAAGGAGCGAGAACAATAGAAGAGTAATTAAGAGGACAGTAGATAATGATTGATATTCTATTTGAATTTTAGAAGATCAAAGTTGACTTGAAAGCATGGAACCGGAAGAGAGTTTCCACAAGTGAGAAGTGCGCGATAAGAAACTATTAGCATAGAACTTACGGTTACATCTAGCTAATTCAACTATGAAGTGATGAGACCTTAATGCCAATCTAGTACTGCGCTTAAATTCATAAAGTCTAGGTACCATACGAAGAGTTCATCGGAACATTTACCATGAAAGTATTATAGAAAAGGCAAAGGGAAGCAACTTTACGTTATGTTGATACCTACAAAATTCACTTCTTCTTCTTTTTCTTCTTCTTCTATGTGCCGTGTCCCTTCAGGACGTTGATGATCATGGCTCTTCACAATTTCCTATCCTTTGTTGAACTTATCATTTTATGTTAGCTTACTTTCGATCCCAATTCCAGTTTTGTATTTTTTTCATGTAGTTTTAGGTCCACCTTTATATATATACATATATATATATATAAAAGTAATATGTTGTAGTGGTTCCAACGAGAGAAAAGTATGTATATTAAAAAGAAGAGAGGTGCCGCAAACGTTTTTGGTTGTAATGTGGATTTATTTAGAAAAAATATTATGCTTTGTTTTACATAATTTTACTACGACACGTGTTTCTGGTCTCGCGACCGTCTTCAGGTAAAAGTGGAGATTTCTACATATTATTAAAAATAATTAATTTTTCTTCATGTTCAATGTGAAATGTTCTCGATATGAGACATTCTCTGTTTGTGTGTTGGCAATCCGAATTTTCTTTCTAGAATTGTCAATGAAGAGTTCTGCGCGAAGGGTCATAAAACAATTAAGGTTTGTCCAGCGAGTAGTTATCGGCATTTAATCTTTTAATGTTTTAGTGACCCCTATGTGCTCTTGGATCTGTTTCTATTTTGGTGTGTTCCTGTCAGCATGCGTGTATATATGCGTGCGTATATTTCCCCTCCATACATATTGTCTTACTACAAGGAATTCGTAAACTTATTTGTACCTATACACGCATACACACATATACGCACATACACACTATCCCACCACAAGTAATCAGTACACACACACATATACACACATATTTCCCAAGCTACATGGAACCAGTACACACACACACACGCGCACACACACACACACACACACACACACACACTTCTTAAGTTGTCAACATCCGCATATACATACATAAATGTATGTATGTGTACATACACATATATATGTCTCCTCGTGTCTCCCGTATATGAGTGTGCGTCCAAGTATGTGAGCGATTTGATCATTGTATTGGGTCACCCTGTGTGCATGTTGTGTGTTTTTTGTGTGTGGGGTTACGATCTATTCAGTTCGGGTTTGAATTTGTCTATAAAGTTTTTTTCCTGTATTTGTAGATACGAGTAATTGTCTGTTTGATATATCGGCATGATATTAAACTTACCCTGGTTACATTTGAAAATGTGTTGTGATACAAAAAGTTTTCTGTTGTCTGTCAATATATATATATAAGTTATCTCAAAAATTGGCATCAATTTAAAATGTAAATATCTGATTAACTACATGTCAACGGCAAACGAAATTAGATAGGTTTCGCGTTGAATAATAAAAGATTTATTTATCAAAATTCGAATATACATTCAAAGGGATCTACATTTTGTAACCGATTTCACAAATGTTCACTACGCACACCTCCTGGAACAAGATACACATCAAGTCGGTAGTACAGCTCCTGATAAACATGATGTGTCTGCCTATATAAGACAGGGTGTAGTTAGTAACAGTAATCACTTGACTCAGTCAATTTGTGAGTTCGCGATTGGACTTCATTTGATTAACAACTCGGGTTGCCCTTCTGAATATTTTACCAGAGCGTTTAGAGTGCTGCACAAGACTCAGTCGGTTAAAGATTTATGGTTTTTAGAGGCTGTGCACATCAAGCTTCATCGACCGACTTTGTGCAGGCAAAAGAACTTTTTTTTTGTTCTCTGTGTCTCATGAGGTGTCGTGAGTAATTTTTTGTTTTATACTCATTCGGAGCTTATTTACATCCATTGTTTGTCTGTAGTAATAGATTTATTTTAGTCGTGGTTCATTATCCCACTTTTGTCTACCTTATTCAGTTTCGCAGTTTTGATTATTGTCGTTCCAACGAATGTTTCTGAAGAAGAGGTGAACGAAAGAGGTCTCTTTTAAAAAAATGCGTTCCGTAATTTTCAAAGCCATATTTAAATTCTGTGGTAGAAATTTTTGTTTATATCAGCCGGGTTTCGATTCTGGCTTTAGGCAATCGGATGTCTAACCACACTGACGAGATACAGCGAAAAACTCTGTCTATGGATGACAATATATACTTATATATATATATATATATATATATACACACACACGTTTCATTAAATAATATAGACAAGTGTTGTCTATTTATTTTATGTAAATTTTTTTCGTAACATCTGATTAAATTTAATAACATTATCGTTGAACGAAGAAAGAAATTCACAATATTGATCCATATTTTTTTAATACAATCTAAGCTTTCGGCTTACATAAGCCATTATCAAAGATGTCAATTACAACATATTAAGTAAAAGATGCTGCCTAAATACACGCAATATATATATATATATATATATATATATATGTATAAAGGTGGAGTCGTACTTTTCCCAAGGATAAGTGAATATAACGAACACATCTGGAATTGGAACTCGGATATATATATATATATCCTAGTTGTCATTTCACATAGCCCCATAGAAAAAAAATCACATGGTGTGAAGTCAATTGAACGTGGTGGTCATTTCAACAGGACATTATCATTGGATCGCCCGATCCATCTTACTCATTGAGATAAACACCTACCTAAGCAGAAAACGAAAGTACTCAACGCTATCCAGAGAAAGCAAAAACAAAAAAAAAAGCGCTTCAATGAGGCACAGCTCAACCCGCTACTTAAGTTTGACGCACTCGCCATCTTCAGGCAACAAAAGCGCCGATATATATATTTGGTTAAAGGAAACATTTACGTGAATTAATAATAACCATTAATGTTTTTGTTAGTACTTCCGAAATAATCTGCCACTCGAACTAATCTGCCCCAGAACATTATATAAATATAATTATATAAATCATTATATAAATATGAATATTATTATAAATATGCAGATAATAATGATGTAATCACAGTTTCAAACTTGATACTTGTAAATAATAACTAGTCCAAAAGCTCTATAAAAAGTAATTTTATACTGTATCCATTTTCTGAACAGGAAAGCCAACTTCTAAATCGATAAAAAAAGATCAATATTTTTTCCATCCTGACAAATATCATGGCTTGAAGAAGTCTAATGAATCCTAACCTACAAAAATTATTCCCAAAAATAATTTCCCCAGACCAAACCTCTAATACCCGAGGGCATCAAAGAAGTCAGGTGAATCTCATAGCCACCAGGTGCAGATTTACGCCTCATACGATATCATCACACTTGAATAATTGAAATGTTTTGCATAAAGATCACCAAAGAAAATAGGTTACGGACTTTAGTTCATATTTTTTTCTAGAATTTCTTTATTTAACTGGGCTTACGACCAGTTCCTGTACGATCACTGGAGTTAAGCAACGTTGAGACCGGTCACTACCTAGATGGGTGACCACTCAGTA